CCGGGCCCGCCCTATATAGCGCCGGTACCTGCGGCCGCCGCGCCCCGTCCCGCTCCCGCCGCCGGGCTCCCGCAGTCCTGCGCCCGGGTATGTGGTAGCTGCCCACGTAAGCCTTGCCGAGGTAAGATGGCAGGGCGCTTTCTTCCGTTCGTTCGTACGCGACGCGGTTTGCTTCAGATGGGGCGAGCGCCCGGCAGAGGCGCTGAGGGAAGGCGAGAGGTTAGGGGCAGATCGGGCTCACCGCGTTCCCTTCCAGTGCTGCTTTTTTGCGCGGCTCTTTCTGGCCCTTTGAGTTCGCCACATCGGCTGTAGTTGCGTTCGAGTTTGGCTGATGCGCTTTATTTGCCGACCTTGGCCGTCCCCTTGGTGTTTCCGAATATAAAAAAGGATGCTGTTGTGGCGGCAGCTATCTCTGCAGTTCAAGACTTGCTAAATCAGTTGTTAGTTTGTGAGTAAATATGACAGAGCAGTAAAATAGGAGTGCTTTCACAGCCTGCTTTGTAGGAGACTTCTGTGGGAACCCGGTGATACTCCTGGATGAAAAGAGTTAGTAATGAGCAGGAGACTTGGATGTTTTAGAAAGCTTACTATGGCTTTTAACCAAAATTAAACCAAAATCAATCAAAATACTGTGGGCTTCTTTGTCCTGTGGAATTCATTAGTCTGCAGGGAGGACATATTTGGTGACCTAACAATGATGTAGTCTTGTAGCTAGCGTTTTTGTCGAATGTTTATCACTGAGTGTTGAAAGGAATTTGGTGTTATTTAGTAACTTTGTAACTTAGAACAGTAATGGCTTTGGAGATTTCTTCTTCTTTTCCAGGTCTGTAGCAGACATTTGTTTAAATTTTAGTAGTGAAGACCAAAAAAAAAAAAAAAGTGAAAGTTTCCTGGCAGCAAGCACATAATTAGAAAGAAGGCTGGGAAAAGTAAGACTGGCCTTCCTTATAATGATGTGTTTACAGAAACTTGGAAAGCAGAGATATGCATTGGCTATCAAAGAGAAACGAACGTCTGCTGTTGGAACATTTGGGTCAGCCTTATATTAAGGAATATGGCACTACAGAGCATACACCTAAAAATAGGAGCAGACACATTCGATGTTTCATTAGGCTTTGAGGTCAAGAAACTCTTTTTCTACAGTATTCTGTGGCTGTATTGAACTGAAACCATGATTCCTGAGACCAAATCTTATATTTCTGAAATTAACTCCGTAAGATATATTCTACAGAAAGTTTTATTTCCACTCACAAGTCTGTGTGCACCAAAATCCACTGGAGGTCTGGGGTGGGAATAGTTATGATGATGTTCTTAAGAAGTCCCAACAGTTTCCAGGCATCCAGAGCTGGTCTGTGATTCACAATGCATACCAGACATAGAAGGATTAAGATATAGAACTGATAACAAGAGGATGGAAAAAAACGTATAAAAAGTTAAATGGCTCTCAGCCCATGTCCATTGTTTGTGTCTAAACCACTTCACTGTGAAAAAGGGGGCAAATACTTGTGAGAACTGGATTCCGAGACAGATTGTGTCGCATCCTGCTTTTGCATGGACAACAAAACCTGAAAGAACCGACTGTCTGAAATAATATCTGGTACTAATTTTCCTGGCCAGGAAGAGAAACCCTGTGAGAAGAGGTGGGGGCAAAGGAATAAGAGTTTGCATAAAAGAATCTGGGAAGATTGGGTAGGAGGTATACAGATGTTCTTGCAACTTTTGAAACTCTTAGGAGTATGCAGGTAGGATTTTGTTGGAAGTCAAAGTTTACAAAGTTACTATACACTGCAATCTGACATGGAAGTTTTCCCAAAATTGGTATGGTGGATGTGTAGTAAAGGTTTGTTAGCAGTTGGCAGATGTACGTCGCATAGATTTTCTTGTAGCTTTATGAGAGCCAAATTTTTTTTTTTTCAGTGAAAAACTGTTCTGAAAATTTGAAGTGTGTTTTAAGTAACAATAAGCAGCTTGATATATCAGGATTCCATTAAAAAGCACCACTGTAAAATACATGGTTTTAATTTCTTGTACTTAATTAATTGCTAGAAAATTCTCTATTATCTTCAAATTGTTGTGTGTGTTTGTTTGTTTGCTTGTTTGCTTGTTTTATAAGAGCAGAACAGTTATCTATATATTGTCCTGGCCAAGCTCATCCTGCTGGACACTCATATACCTATTATTGTGGCCCTATTTTTTTTTTACTAGCCTGAGTTTACTGCTTTCTCTTCACAGAGACTGTGTAATGGTTACAACATATGAAACTTTGCAAAGTGTTATTCTACAGTAATTATTGGTTTTGTATAATTATAATTATTGTAAAGTAATTACTGATATCTGCAGTTCCAGGGAGCAGAAAGCAACTCACTATTCTCTGCTCTGCACTGAAGAAATTTTTGAGTTTATACAACCATTGTGGAGGGCATGATAGTCTTAACCACAAACAGGAGTGGGGTTTCAGTTTTGTCATCCACTTTGTGGTCTGTATGACTGCAGCAGCCATTTCTAATAGCTATGTTAGCTATGTTAGAACAGCATGCCTCCGTTTCCGTAAGGACACAGTGGTAAATCTGATGAGTAATGTTCAGCTGTTGGGCTTTGGGCAGTGGAAGACAAAGGGAGCGGTCTGGCTGAAAGTGACCTGTGGGATGCTGGTCAGCCCTCTTACATGGAGAATTCCTTCTTTCTCTCCTGTACAGAATTTATTTCTGTTACTCTACTTCAAAATGATCCATGAGAGGCTTGCCTTACTAAACTTACCTGGTTCTCAGCTGGGCAAAGTAAGCTGATTTTACTTGTAAAATCATGTGTTTGATGGCACATTATTGTATTCTTCAAACAGCAAATGAATGTCTCGACCAGCTCTCCTTAAAGCAGCTACTTAGTGATTTTACTTATGCCAACATCAGTGTGGACCTGTGTGTCTGGGAGCAGAGTAGAGCATCAGTCAGTCTGACGTCATGTACATAGGTCTTCTCTGGGTGTATAGTATCATTTTCTGTACATTATAAATACTGGTAGGCACTAAACCTGAAAGACATGAAGATAAAGACCTTTAGTTTTAAAAGGCTGGGTTTCTGAGATGAAACTGTGTAGATAAGGAGAAGTGCATTGGGTGCAGTGAGAAGAAACTTGTCTGAAAGATGAAAATAAGCATACCCACTACAAGTTACATAATTTCCATATGAAATGTTTTATGTTATTCTTGTGTGTCTTTTTATTTTCTGTTTACTCTCCAAGAAAGGAGTCTTCAAGTATTTGAGGCTCTGCTGGACCTTTATTGACCTGAGAAGACTTGGTGGCCCTAAGATTATATTTCCCCCCAAAAAAATTCAGGGTTACGTAGAACATATTAACTAACTGATAGACCCATATATTCTTGAGAACATAATAATTGGCTGAAAATCTTTCATCCTAGGAATTTTCTTTAATCAAAATATGCTTATGGAATTTTGTATTCATGAATCATCTTCCATCTTGGAAATATTCTCGTTTCTTAACAGATAGCATTTCAATGTTAGATTAAGTAATAAAATTCCCTTTGGAGTGAAGCTCCTACGCAGTAATAACAATACCAAGCAATGATTTCACAGTGATAATACATGCATTTGAAACAATTAGGAATTCATACAGAGTAATTACTAACCAACTTATAGTATGCCCAGAGACTCATTTTAACTGCTTATTGTGCAGAAAGCGGAGAGTCTTTTGTGACCCCAAGTGTCAGAACTTCCTGGAACATTAACACTTCGGTATTCATATAATTTAAAAACAACCACTTACTATGCCATCATAATTATCAGAGAAGGATAACCAATAATTAAGGAAATTCTTTTTACATGTAAAGTGTACTTTCTGGATTAGCACATGAATAGAAAACTTAGGAAATATTTTTCCTCCACACTGCTGTCTAGACACTTAACACGGTCCTTCTCCCACCTGCTTGAGATATTCTAGCCCTTGCCAAAGCAGGAAGTTTGTATTTCCTTTATTGAAGCAGAAAGTGATTGTAATTAGTGTATTGTATATGGCACTCCCCAGTGCTTTCCATTTCCACAAAGGAAATGAGTTTAAGATAAAGAACATTTATTTTTATATAAATAAATACAGTGGGCTCAGTTTATCACTGGGCTTTTTTCTGCCTGGTGCACCTGCATGAGATGAGCCAAGAAATAACTGAGTCTGCTTTCCCTAGTTTGTGTAGTTGCGTATCTCCCAAGGATGATCTGAATAAGAAATCTTTGATTAACTTAGATTATCTTAAACCATTTGGTACCAGTTATTCAGAATTGGTTCCAGTCCTTCCCAGGACATTGTTCTGAGACTGGGGAATTTTATTCCTGCATGTCACCAAAAAATGTCCCACTTGAAATGGGCTCTGGATTTTGTTATCTGTTTCAGTTGACATTATATGTGCTGGTTGAAAATATAGGAGAAGAAAAACCCAATTCTTCTTTTTGAAGAAACCAATTTTATATCACAGTTTGCTGCAGAATAGTTCAAACAGAAAATGGCAATGTGGGCTTGAGTTCATACTTCAGCCTTAAAAACGTGGAAGGCTTATTTAGTTGAAGAGTTGAGTCTGTGCGTCAGGAGCTGCTATACTGCATTGCCAAAGTATCCAAGTTTTGGTAAATGTTCATAAAATGGCACATGTCTCATTTGTCCTTTTGGATTTGTGTAATGTGAAGGCTTTCTAGAGAAGAAAGACTGTTATTTGCAGACATGATGTGTCAGCCAACAGAAATGTACAGGAAAAGATTTTTTGGTTTTTGTTGGCAACATGGTTACATTTTTTTTTCCAGGCTAAAATGTAAAAATAGATTATCATGCAAAAATCTGTTTTCGTAATGTTAACATATATACCAACCAGCTAACCTCAGCAAATTCACAAGAGTGATATTCTGGTCTTGAATGCTACTGTACCTATTAAGGCAACACAGTACCTGAGGTGTGCATGTAAATAATGGGAAAATTGAGGGGATCAAGTTTACAACATCAGTATTTAACTCCTTGCTTTTACAGTCTTGAGTGGGTTTGTTTTGATTTTTGCATTTACAAGGAGATGACTGAACTTTGCTTTAGAAGCATTGAATTTAAATGGAGATTCAGGCA